TCTGTGTCACATTTTAGATTTCACATATAAGTGATACCAGATGATATTCGTCTTTCTCTTTATGACTTGCTTCACTTAGTACGATAATTTTTAGATGCCTCCATGTTGCCGCAAATGGCATTATCTCATTCTTTTCACAGCTGGGTAGTATTCCATTGTATATATGCATCACATCTTTTTTATCCATTCATCTGCTGGGGACATTTGGGCTGTTTTCATGCCTTGGCTATTGTGACTAGTGCTGCTGTGAACATAAGAGTGCATGTATCTTTTTGAATTATAGTTTTGTCTGGATATATGCCAGGAGTGGGATTGCTGGATCATATGGTAACTCTATTTTTAATTTTTTGAGGAACCTCTATATTATTTTCCATAGTGGCTGTACCAACTTATATTCCCACCAACCTACTGCCTGATTTTAATAATTATTATTTTATTTTGGAAGAATGCGGTGTTAACACATATAGATTATTTCTTCTGTGCTGAAGGGAAATCTTCTTGGGCATGCTACTATGTAAAATTCAATATTCACAATATTGGAGGCTAGAGAAGGAAGCAGTAAATGACTTCTCTTGTTGATTTACTGCCGAAGTCAGCTTAATTTATGGAGTCTTCCACATAGTCAGATATCTCAAAGATGTTTTTGATTAGACAAGATAAGAGTGTAAGATACTATAAAAAAATAAAGATAAAACATTAAAGACTGGTGTTTGGGAAGTATTAAGAGTACCTGGACTTTTCAAGAAGGTAACTTGGCACCATCTGACGGCTCACATTCCATGAGGCTGTATTTCAATCAGGTCTGGAAATGCACTTGTTTGGCATTCTTGGAGGTGCATCCAAGAAAAGAAACCTTTTCAGTTCCCTTTTCTTTCTTTCCTTCAAGCAATCCATGGCAGATACATGGACATCCGAGGGCTGTAAATCCTTACTGCATAATCCAAAACCTAGCACAGATTTTCAGAGAGAAGCAGTTTTACTCTAAGTACTGAGTTCAGGTATTCTCTTGTCCTTTTCTTCCCCAGCTATTCTCCTCCTAATCTATTTGTCAGGTTCCCAGAATAGAGTGGTAATTGCCTGACATCTCTTTTAATTCCACTACATTCTCCATTTTTTCTTCTTTTCATCTTTTTCCTATTATCAGGTTTTTCCAGGATCTTATTTTAAGTCATGATGAAATTAATGGCAAACTTTCTTTTCACAAATGTTTTCTTACAGTGAAAGTTTGAATGGACCCAGCAGTGGTTAATATCACGAATAAAGAGCCATTTGAGGACTTTTGTGAAAGGGCATTGTGATTTCCTTATGTGTGTTTGTTGCCTTTGATGTTTCAAATTCTTTTGTATAATATCGAAATCTTCACCACACAGTTTTTTTTATTGAGTGGAAACATCATACTGTTAGTAAATAAAGCCACAAGCCACAAGCATGAGCTGTATCATTCAATTAACCATCAGTTTAAGAGCATCAGTAGAATATACCCCTGGATTAAATTCATGACTTTGTATTTTAATTTTCCTGTACCTGAATTTCCCTCTATACAAATTTCACTTTAGGTTTGAACCATAAATAAATTCCAAGAAATGTTTCTTTAAAATTTAAAGGCATCTGAACAACAAATATTCTGATTTTTTTTTTTTTGAAATGTCCCTTCCAAGTTGGAAATTTTGATTTTTGCGTGTGAGTGGTGCTATTGAGTATGGGAGGCTGTACCATTTGGTGCAGTGATTTTCCGTGACATCCCATCGGCCTGACAAATGTGAAAGTTGTAGTATTCAATATCTTCAGACTGAAAGTTAACTTAGTATTGAGACTTGCAGTACTGGCACTTCAAAAACCCAGATGGGCTGCAGAGTCTTAAAAAGTTTAACATTTTCTGACCTTCTGTGGTTGAAAAAGAATTGCACTGGAAGCCAGAATATGTGGGTTCTAGTCTTGGCTCTGTTACTAACCAGCTGTGTAATTTTGGACAAGTCAATTTTCTTCTATAATCCAGGCTTTTCTCTGTTATATAATGAAGAAGTTAGACTAAAATGATTTTGCAGTCACTTCCAATCTAACCCTATGTTATGCAAGTGATCTCTGGGTTCAAATCCTAGATTTATCACTTGTCTCAAGCCTGGTAGGGTAAATTGGTTTCTCTGTTCTCAGTAAATGAGCATTACTGGTAGATGAGCACGATAATAGGGCAATGTGATGAGTAAATGAATCATGTGCAGAGACTAGCACAGTTAGTGTTCAATAAAGGGTGGCTATTAGTATTGTGAGTCAGGTCTAGCAAATTGAACACTGAATTCGAATCACATCATTTGTATCTGAGGCCTACATTCTCCATTGACTGTGTGACCTTCTAAGAAGTCAATTTTAAGAGAAATAACTGCACTTTTTTCAAACTCCCCAACTTAAGATAAATTAGTATCCATAATTGAAAAAATCTGAGCCTCTAGAAGTTTATGTGCTGTACAAACAAATTTTGATGTCATTCCTATCTATGCTATTTTTTTAAAAAAAAATTTTTATTGTAGTATATTTAATTTACAATATTGTGTTAGTTTCAGGTGTACCACAAAGTGAATCAGTTACACACACACATATATTCCTGCTTTTTTAGAGTCTTTTCCGTGCAGGCCGTTACAGAGTCCTGAGCACTGAGTGTACTCTATAACGATCCTCTTCTACACAGTAGGTCCGTATTAGTCACCTGTTTCTCATATAGCAGTGTGTATACTCTAATCCCGATCTCGTCTCCCCATTTATCCTTCCAAGCCCCCAGTAAACATAGGTCTGTTTGCTACATCTGTGACTTCATTTCTGTTTTATAAATAAGTTCATTTGTACCACTTTTGTTTTTTCAGATTTTACATGTAAGTGATATCATAATGTATTTTTCTTTCTTTGTCTGACTTAGTAGGACAATATCTAGATCAATCTGTGCTGCTATAAATGCATTATTTCATTCATTTTTATGGCTGAGTAATATTCCATTGTATATATGTACCATATTTTTATATTCCCTAAACACATTTCTTCCTCAGGGTTCCAGTATAGCTGAGTTACATTTCATTGCAGAGAGGCTGTGTGGGGGTGGTTAGAAGCACAAATTATTCTATAGATCTTGAAAGTTTTTCTTTTTACTAAATATAGCGGCACTTCTAACTTAAGACTAAAGTTAACTTTGTTTTGATTAAAAACAGAAACGTAAAGCTGTTTTTTTTTTCTTCTTCATTCTTGTGTTGATTTCTACCCACCTAGCCATGCACTTTAGGTAAATTTTATGACATCTCTTTGGCTCTCAAGAAAGCCTTAGTCCCTCCCTTAGTTTCTGCTTCAGTGGGGGATGCTTATTTGGGTTCCTGTTGAATGTACAGAGTAAATAGGCAAGAATAGCTTTGAAAAAATTTAGTTACATGGTTATTTATATGCAGATAATACAGAACATTTTATAATGGAAAAGCAACAACTCCCTAATCCATCCTTTCCATTCCCAGGTCCACTCCTCAGAAATAACTATTAGTTCCCATTTTTCTACTGAGTTCATCTGGTGATACCTCTATAATCCTATAACCATGCTACTATACTGCTCAAAATATTCACTTTAGAAATTTTTTGAAATTATATCCTACTATATAAAATGCAAAATTTCTCATTCACCCATTTCTGTCTCCAACTTGTTGCTGATATATATTTTTGCCACTGTCCATTTTTTTACTTCAGTTTCTATTCACATAATTTAAATATTTATTTCTTGCTCTATAAATCATATATAATACTTTGTTATCCACTTTGGAAGAAGAGGACGTATTTCATCTGTCACATCTATCTGGAAATTCATAATGAACTATGCATAGTCAAGTTTGATGATTTCTTTGATTTGTCCATAGATTGATCTTAGAATTAAAAAAAAAAAATGTGCTTACATCATTATGAGAAGTACGCTTTGTTCACTATATACCCAAGTATATAGTGATTTAGTTATAATGATAAAATATTCTTTTCTGCAGTTCCAGGGTCACAGTCCCTATGACTCACAAAATAGTCTAATGTTGTATGAAATTCAAGTTATTTTTTTAATATATATTTCACCAATCATTCAAACTCATGCTGCTTTGTTATAGTTTGCCTTTCATTTGGACCATGCCTTTTTTGCACAGTTATATTTCTCTTCCTGGAATTCTGACTGCTATATTTATTTGTTTATTTTCAGTTGGAGAATCCCATGGACGGAGGAGCCTGGTGGGCTGCAGTCCATGGGGTCACTGGGAGTTGGGCACAACCGAGCGACTTCACTTTCACTGTTCACTTTCACGCATTGGAGAAGGAAATGGCAGCCCACTCCAGTGTCCTTGCCTGGAGAATCCCAGGGACGGGGGAGCCTGGTGGGCTGCCGTCTATGGGGTCACACAGAGTCGGACACGACTGAAGTGACAGCAGCAGCAGTTTTTGCAATTGTAGGATTTTCCAAAGTATCTTGGATGAATATTAAAAGTCTAATATGCTTTTGGTCAGAAGTATGGGGCTATCTCTCAAATCATTGTGTCTATATGCAAGCATGAAAAGAAAACAGCAACAACTTGTGTTTTACTGCTCTGGTAACTGAATGCTGTGGAAGGCTAAGGAGCCTTGTTCAGAAACAACATATGAGAGTCACGCTTGAATTCTGGACTCTGCTTGAATCTTGTTGCCGAGACGACTGAATACTGCATTACTTGCTGTTGGTACCATCACCACTCTATCAAAAATGGCTTTATACCTTTGAGCCACTTACTTCTGAGAGGTTGAAGGTGAAAATAAATTCCAGGAGACACCATTGTGAAATCTTTGGTGCTAGAGCAATTACAATAATAACAGGATTCATAGAGGGCTTGCTGTTAGTTCATGATGTAGCTGTACCAATGCTTTTGTCTCTTGAGCCTTTTGAACTTTAATTACTCTGGACACAAGTGTGGGGAGCATGCTTATCTCTGATCTATGAGGTCTTTGTTCATCTTGAATCTTTCCAGATTGCCAAATTGAATGACCTCTGAGAAGAAACTGGTGATGAATTAGATGAAGATCACAGCTGGCTGATGCATAATTGCCACTTGAATATGAGGGACATCTAAACATATTAAAGCTGCCAGATGGTATGTGGTTCAGATTGATATGCTGTGGGATCATTGCAGATAGAGACACTGGTTGTTTCCGGACTACAGTTGCAGTGGGTGGGTGGGGATGTGGATGGGCTTGCATATGTTTTAAAACTTTTCAAAATTCAAAAGCTCAGGCAGAATCCGATCCTACTGACCATAGATTAAAAGATTTTATAGTTTCTTTTTCAGAAATATGCTCAGAGATGTTCACTGGAGGTTGGAACATGGGCGTTCAGACACTCCTAAGCGTCTGCTGAGGGCAGCAGAAGAGGCAGCCCTTGTCTGACACTCTCTATTTCACTAAATCCTAATTTTGGGAAAAACATACAAGAAAGAGAAAAGTGAAGCTGAAAGTCGTTCAGTCGTGTCCAGCTCTTTGCAACCCCACGGACTATACAGTCCATGGAATTCTCAGGCCAGAATACTAGAGTGGGGAGCTGCTCCCTTCTCCAGGGGATCTTCCCAACCCAGGGATCAAACTCAGGTCTCCCGAATTTCAGAGGAAGTGGAAGAGGAAGGTTTAGCATACCTGACAGTCAAAAAGATTGAATTACAATGCTGACATTGCAGGAATGACAGATAATCCGAGCCAAATCATGCTAATACCCAGTGCCTGAACATAATTTTAGTTTTTTGTTTAATTTTAACTTTTTAAAATAGAGATTTTAAAAAATTAGTTTTGTTCAGAAATTTTAAAAAATAAGTCTAACATGGTTTTAATGTAGTTCTATCAAGCCAGGAAGGAAAACCAATGACTATTCAAGTCCTTAGTGTTAAAATGACTCTCAGACTTTGCAAGCTACTGTAAATCTGTAGGAAGGAATGTAAAAATGGGTTCTGATTTCACCCATAGATAGGAAGTTTTTCTATCTATGAATAGACAGTTTTAAAGGTGGGCTTTGGTACCATCTTGGGCTTCCTTGGTGACTCAGTTGGTAAAGAATCCATTTGCAAAGCAGGAGACCTGGGTTTGATCCCTGGATTGGGAAGATCCCCTGGAGAAGGAAATGGCAACCCACTCCAGTATTCTTACCTGGGAAATCCCAAGGACAGAGGAGACTGGCGGGCTACAGTCCATGGGGTCCCAAAGAGTCAGACACAACTGAGTGACTAAATCACCATCATGGACTTGCTATTGTTCACCTTCAAATGGCTCAATTCCATGGAAAAATGTTCTATTTATAAAAATTAAATGGAATGAAGTTAGGAATCAAATGCCCTAGAGTCTTTTTTCATAGAAGCAAGAGAACAGACTAAAATTTTCTTACAAAGGTGAAGTAAATTAATAATGTTTTCTGGGCAATGAATAAAGATTATTCATTCTGATTTAGCCTAAAGGACTCAGAACTTATTTTGGGTATATGAAGGATTTCCCTGTGGAAAAAGGACTTGATTTACTATGTGTAGCTTCAGGGAGCTGACCAAAGTCAGACCAATGGTTACCTGTTAGAAATCTCAGGACTAAATTAATACCCCATTTTTAGCAAAAGTACAAGATCAAGTAAAGTCTTTTATGTAATAATTTGTTAATAATCTTGTATTACCTTATTTTTCCTTTTATTTTCTTTCATTTCTTCCTTTGTTTAAATTTATTTTGTCCCGTGTGTGTATATTTTTCTAATAATGATGCAGAGCATTGAATAAACAAGTACATAAATAAATAGCGAATGAAACCTGCAGTAGAGCAGTTTTTCACTCAGTATGAGAAGAAAAAAAGAAAGTTCTCAGTAATGAGGCAGACATTTTGGTTGTCACACAATATATGCATGACCACAATATATAGGTATTAGAGTTATGCCTTTTTTTAGGCGGTTATGGGGGTGGGATTTAACAATTTAACAATCTCTCTCTCATGCTGATATCCTATCCCATGAATCCTTGGTATAATGAAAAGAAAGAAAAAGTCTTTTGGATTGTGAAAAGAAACATGAAAAGAAAAGATATACCATGGAGATCTCTTCTTGGACATATCACTGCTAATTTGTGTTAGTTCTGCCAAAGACTGACTTTTTCATTTGCTTCTAACTGCCTAGATAACAATCACAAATGATTAAGCTTAGAATTTTGAATACAGCTGTTTTACAGGAAACGTGTTATACTCAGCTCATTTGTGTTGCAGTCCCAAATTTGAGGCAGAAAAAGTTGAAAGACTTGACCACAGTGGCAGCCAATCAGCAGCCTAGGGAGGAAATAGATTTCAGATATCTGTCATTCAGGATAATTTACCATTCACTATAATATGTTCGTGATGATGCATGTTAAGTTATAGCTGGATCAAGTTATAGCTGGATGCATATCTAAAAGGATCATTTCAATAAGCATTTTATAAAACAATAAGCCCAAACTCAAGCATTCTACACAATTGCTGCTGATGGAAGAGACATAATCCCGTTTCAGACTGGCATTCAGTGGATCCTGCACATGGTCCACAAATGGCCACAAGAAGAGATTTGGTTTATAAATAAATCCAATCCCAACCCTACCTTAAATTTAATCTCAATGCAACTCTGACATGATTATAGCATTTTCTGATATTCCTTTTCAGATACTGAATTACTTGTCATCCCACCAGATTTTCCTGTTTCTATATTAATTTTGTGTTAATAACCAACATACAATGCTCATGCCTCAATTTGTTGAGAGAGAATGCAGAAAAAGGCTGCTGCTATTATCTGAAGGAGGGATGCCACGGACAGGGAGGAGGGTAACCAAGTGAGGTTACTCGAATCCATGTAGTTTGGAGAGGAACTCAGGAGGATGCTGTAGGAGAATCTGGGCCAAGAGGTAAAAGATCAAGCAATGGAAAAGAAACAAAAAGAACAAAAAAAAAAGGAAAATAGGATGACGTATGAGAGAATTTAAAAAACTGGATACACACACAGAAAATTCAAGATTCAAAAATTTCATGACTTCCCCCAAATAGAATTACAAAAGTATAATTGCAATTCAAAATGCATTTACAATATAATTCTGAAGTTAGAAAATAGAAAGTGCTTAAGAATAATGTGAGACAAATTCTTAAAACATCAGCTTTTCTCTAAAATATAAATGCTGTGAAGAACAATCATACAACATAAATCATGACTGCTCAGTTTTTTGGTTTTGAATTTTTCAGTTTAAGAAAAGCACTTTATTTTTGTAGAGCTGTCTTATGTTTACAATGAAATTAAAAGGAAGTTACAGAAATTTCCCATATGCCCCTTACCCCGACACAGGCATAGCCTCCTTATTCTCAGCATCACTCACCAGAGTGGTACAGTTTTATAAAAAAATGAACCTACATTGATATATCATAATCACTGTTTACCTCAGACTTCACTCCGTGTTCTGGACTCGCAGTTTCAAACAGTGGACAAGGTGATATATCCATTGTTATAAAATCATACAGAGCACTTTCACTGCCTTAAAAAAACTTGTGACTGTTCATCTCTCCTCCTGCCCATACCCCTGGCAACCGCTGATCTTCTTTACTGTCTCCGTGGTCTTTTCCAGAATGTCATATGTCTGGAATAATATAGTATGTAACCTTTTCATATTGTCTTCTTTCAGTTAACAATGTGCACTTTTCTCCATGTCTTTTCACAGTTAGAGAGCCCACTTTATTTTTGTTGTTGTTTGCTTTTGTTGTCATTATTGTTTTCAGTTGCTAAGTTGTGTCTGACTCTTTGCAACCCCATGGGCAGCACGCCAGGCTGGGTCCTCCACTGTCTTCTGGAGTTTACCCAGATTCACGTCCATCGAGTCGGTGATGCTATCGAGACATCTCATCCTCTGTTGCTCTTCTCCTCCTACCTTCAATCTCTCCCAGCATCAGAGTCTTTTCCAATGAGTCAGCTCTTTTGCATCATGTGGCCTAAGGATCAGAGCTTCAGCTTCCATCAGTCCTTCCAGCGAATATTCAGGGTTGATTTCCTTTAGGATTGACTGGTTTGATCTCCTTGCTGTCAAAGGGACTCTTGAGGGTCTTCTTCCAGCACCACAACCTGAAAGCATCAATGTTTCGATCCTCAGCCTTCTTTATGGTCCAACTATCTCACATCCATACATAACGACTGGAAAAGCCATAGTTTTGACTATACAGACCTTAGTCAGCAAAGTGATGTCTCTGTTTTTAATAAGCTGTCTAGGTTTGTTATAGCTCCTCTTCCAAGGAAGAAGTGTCTTCTAATTTTATGGCTGTAGTAATTTTGGAGTCCAAGAAAATAAAACCTGTCACTGTTCCACTTCTTCCTCTTCTGTTTGCCATGAAGTGATGGGACCAGATGCCATAGTCTTAGTTTTCTGAATGTTGAGGTTTAAGTTGGGTTTTTCACTGTCTTTCACCCTCACTAAGAGGCTCTTTAGTTCCTCTTCACTTTCTGCCATGAGACTGGTATCACCTACATATCAAAGATTTTTGATATTTCTCCTGGCAGTCTTGATTCCAGCTTGTGATTCATCCAGCCTGGATAAGTATTTTTAGTTGTGTGCAAAACTGCTAAGTTGTTTTCCATAGTGGTTGCATCATTTTACATTCCAGTTAGCAATGAATAATAGCTCTTGTTTCTCCACACCCTCAGCAGTATTTGGTTGCCTTGGATTTTGGCCATTTTAATAGGTATGCGGTGGGATTTGCATTTCCTTGGAGACATGTAATGTAGAGCTTCTTTTCAATTACTTTTTTTGTCAGTTCTGCATCTTCTTTGGTGAGGTGTCTGTTAAGGTCTTTGGCCCATTTTTAATTGCTTTCTTATATTGTTGAGTGCTAAAATCTTTGGATAACAGTCTTTTATAAATTTGTCTTTTGCAAATATTTTCTTTCAGTTCGTGGCTTGTCTTCTCATCCTCTCTCATTGTCTCTCAGTGAAGTTTTTAATTTTAGTGAATTCTTTCTTTCATGAATTGTGCTTGATGTTGTATCTAAAACATCATCACCATACCCAAGGTTATCCAGGTTTTCGCCTATGTTATCTTCTAAGGAGTTTTACACTTTTCCATGTAGAGTTTAGGCCTGAGATCCATTCTAAGTCAATTTTTGTAAAAGGTGTAAAGTCTGTGTCCAAATTCTATTTTTTGTCCAGTGTTTCCAGCACCACTTGTGAGAGGCTACCTTTGCTCCATTGTGTTGCCTTTGTTCCCTTTTTCAAGGATCAGCTGGCTTTATTTATGTGAATCTATTCCCATGCTCTTCATTCTTTTCCACTGATCAACCTGTTTATTTTTTGGCAATACCATCCTATCTTGATTGCCATAATTTTACAGTAAGCCTTGAAGTCAAATAATGTCAGTTCTTCAATTTTGTTCTTCAATGTAATGTTGGCTACTCTGGGTCTTTTGCCAAACCATATAAACAGTTTATCGATATCCATAAAATAATTTGCTAGGATTTTGAGGAGGACTACATTGAATTTATAGATTAAATTGAGAACAACTAACATCTAGATAATATTGTGTCTTTCTATCTAGGAACTCTAACTATCTCTCCAGTTAGATTTTTGCTTTCTTTCGTCAGACTTTTGTTGTTTTCCTCATATAGATGTTGCATTTATTCTGTTAGAATTGTATTAAATATTTTGGGTGTGCTAATATAAATGGCATTTTTAATTTCAATTTCCACTGGTTCATTATTGGTAAAGGAAAATCAACTGACGTTAGCATACTAACTCTGTATCCTGAAACCTCAGTACAATCAATCACTTATTAGTCCCAATTCTCTAAGTATTTTTTTTTAATTTCTATATAGACAGTCATGCCATGTATGAACAAAGACAGATTTATGTTTCATCTCAATCTGTGTATATTTTATTTCTTTTTAAAAAAATTTTTGCTTTATTGAATTAGCAAGGACCTTCAGCATGATGTTGAAAAGGAGTGATGAGAAAGGACATCTTTGCCTTGTACCTGATGTTAGTAAGGAAGCTTTGAGTTTCTCACTATTAAGTATAATTCTAGCCATAAGGTTTTACCGATAGTCTACATCAAGTTGAGAGATTCTCCCCGTATTTGTAGTTTAATGAGAGTTTTTATTATGCATAGGTATCATTTTTGTTGTTATTCTTTGCTCAGTTGTGTTCAACTCTTTGTGACCCCATGGACTGCAGCATTCCAGGTTTCCCTGTCCTTCACTGTCTCCCAGAGATAATGGGTTTTGTCAAATGCTTTTTCTGCATTTATTGATGTGATCATGTGAGTTTTTTCTCTTTTGTTTTTTGGTCTGTTGATGTAGTGGGCTATGTTAATTGATTTTCAAAAGTTGAATCAGCCTTATATACCTGATATAAATCCCTCTTGGTTGTATGTATTTATACATTGTTGAATTTCATTTGCTAATTTGTTAAGAATTTTTCCATTTATATTCATGAGAGATATTAATTGGTAGTTTCCTTTCCTTGTAATGTCTTTGTTTGGTTTTGGTGTTAGGGTAAGATAAGCCTCACAGAATGAGTTGGGAACTATTTTCTCATCTTCCACCCTGAGATTTTAGAGGATTGGTGTGATGTCTCCCTTAAAGCTACTGAGTTTTTTGATGCATTAACCACCATATTTGTTTGATCATGAGAACTATCAAGAACAACATGTAAAAATTCAAGTTTCCAGAGTATACTCTGTCTACTAAATCAGTTTCTCCAGCTAAGTAACCTGGTAATCTGTAATTTTAACAAGCAAACCGAGGTGACTTTTAAGAGGTGACATATTTGGAAAACAATGCATTGGAGAATATTGCTTAGAAGCCAAAGCCATGAGTATAAACCCCTTCTCTGTAGAGAAGGCACTTCAGGTGGATGTGTTGGTCCAAGATCCTCTCATTGAACATAAAGTTTAAGTCACAATAAATTATCTCCCAATTTATAGAATATTAATGAAAAGTTGCCTTCTATTGGTTCTCATCTTTGTTTTTGAAGAACTGCATTAAAATTGCTATCCCAGTGTTACTGTAGTTACTTTTTTTTTTTTACAGTACTTCTTTATGTAGAAAGAGAAAGTTAAATTAACTTTATAAGTCTCAGGAAAGGCTTTGTTTTAAGCACCACACATGGCTAATTAACAGCATATGCTGTGTAGACTCCAGTGACTGCATCCACAATAGATAATTTATGTAACGATGGGAAGAGAGGCCAATTCCATTTCTTTTCTAGGTCTAAGAGCAGAGGAGTGATTGATGCTATCGACTATAAGTACCTTCATTTTTATTTCTATCTTTATCCATTTTATAGTAAAAACATCTTCATCACCTGAAAAATCCCAACTTTTCTATTATTTTCAAAAATAGTAATATAAGCATTATAAAAGAGATTACTGTTGTCATGAAAATAATATGTGGTTTATGAAGTCAGAACTATACCTTATTCCAATTACTACTTACCTTGTAATCTGGTTTGTAACTTTGAATTGTCTATTCAGCTTCTCGGAGCCTTAGCTTACTCATATTTATAACGGAGGTATAACCTCCCTACATGGAGAATAGCTGAGATGAAGCATGTGCTGTGGACTGGATCGCTCCCCAGTCTATTCTGTTCCACCATGTGGTCTTGCAATGCACAAGATTGGGTGGCATACACTGTTGCCCTCTGATCTGGGCTTCATCCTGCAGCTCATTTTGGTGGATGGAACGACGGCAGGTATGGCAGGGTGCCAGTTTTAAGCTAAGGCTTTAAGAGAAACCTTAGATTTTATTCTTTCACGCTTATGATCTGTCGTGAAAATAGCCTTCCCTGAGAACTCATTGTCCCTTCAACCTAGAATGATCTATAATGAGTATAGGTAGGAAAATCCTGAAACTCCAAACTTCAACCTGAAGCAAAGATGACTTAGCCAACTCACAGACCCATTGGCAAGAAAAGGTAAATACTCTTAAATCACTGAGTTTGGGGTAATTTGGGAGGCAAGATTATTACAGTACCAATGATGGCTAATTTATTATGTAATACCTTTGACCTAGTAGGCTTACACAAGCATTATATCGCCTCTTAAATATTTTGTCATTTAGTATCATTTGAATTTAAATTATAAGAATATATAGAAGGAAAATATATAAATATAATCACTAAATACATATCTACTATTATCCCAGTGATGATGGGCAAAACATGAATACATATAATATACAAGTATTAGGAGCATGTGGGAGGTGAGTGGGATATTAAGAACATTTAAAAGAGAGTTGGCATAGAATTGAAAGGGAAGCTATAAAGAAGGACAAATAAAAAAATCTAAAGGAGGTAAAAGAAGCAATTCCTTGCCTACTAGAAAATAAAATTCAGTTTGGAAAATGTTTCATTCGGATCTTACTTACTTTGCTAAGGTACTGTGGAAGCATTAAAGGCAGGAGTTTGTTTGCCCACTGGGAAGATCAGACCCAGCACCATAGACGCCAGCACACTAGGGGCAGCGAACGAGGCGCGTGGCAGCGAATCAGAGAACGTGCACAGACCACCCAGCGCGTCTGGCACAGGGCACGCGCCCCACATGTTCTCCCTGCTGCTCTCCCGGCTCAACGCAGAAACACGGGCAGCTGCCTCCTGGCAGGAATGAAGTTTCTTTTCTGACTGTGGCTCCTTAAACATAGGGTCAATATTTTACTAATCTTTGTGTCCCAGTGTTTCCTATATTGATAAGAGACAAGCATATAGAGAAAGCAGTCTACAAACTGAAGGTGAAGAGGCAAAATTCTCTAACAGGACTTGAATTCGCCAACCACAGTATTTACCCTCTAAGATTATAAAAAAAATTCATTCTCTTTAATCCATCACTGAAGTTGGTTTATACTTTTTCTAAACTTCGTTTTGACACTTGTAATTGACCTGCTTGAAATTTCTGTTTCCTGAGACTGTGCTTCATCTATTTGTCAAATAAAAAGCCCTCCATTCACACAGGAAAAACATCTTTAAATAAATACAAGATTTATTTGCTTGATTAAGGTACTTGTTTCACCTGGACATAAAAGGAAAGACTGAGGGGCTTTCCTGGTGGCCCAGTGGTTGAGACGTCACCTTCCAATGCAGGAAGCATGTGTTCAATCCCTGGTCATTGAATTGAGACCCCACATGCTGGGAGGTGTGGCCAAAAAGTAAGAAAAAAGTTTCTTCTTAAAAAAAGGAACTAGTGAGGTGGACACTCTTCAGTCTTGTGCATCTGTAAAATATAAGCCAAAGAGCTCAGGCCTTGCCTAATCCTGCAAGATACCTTACAGAACACACTGATTATGATTTACGCAGTGTGCGTGTGTGTGTGTGTGTGTGTGTGTGTACTTGCTGAGTTGTGGAGTCTGCCAGGCTCCTCTCCCCGTGGAACTCTCTAGGCAAGAATACTGTAGTGGGTAGCCATTCCCTTTTCTAGGGGATCTTCCTGACCCAGGGATTGAACCTGCGTCTTCTGAATTGCAGGCGGATTCTGTACCATCAGAGCCCCCACGGAAGCCCGATGTGTGCACTACATTTCTCTAAGACCTTTTGAGGACACAAAGAAGGATAAGACAACCTCTCTTCTCTCAGTGAAGTTACAGTTTAAGAAGGAGGGTTGGAAAGACATACAAAGACCAAATCACAGGAAATGAAAGCAAAGTCATAAACGACTTTAAAGCAGAAACAGCATTTTACTTTCAAAGAAGGTCCCAGGGAAACCATGTGTCTGCAGCCAAAAAAGAGCCGAGGAAATAAAAGAATTTACCTAAATCAGTGCTTAGCTTTTCACTTAGAAACTTGGCCAGAGTTAAGTGCGAAAATTCCAACTTGAATATGTCCTGTCTTTGTGCAGGTTCTGAGTGTTCATCTGGTAAATACAGAGGAGCGTTCTCTGGATACTTCAGCAGCCAAATCGTATATTAACCTGAAGTGTTAATGAGTTCTTTAGGAGTTCTCCTGAGCATGGCTTCAGTGCTAGCGTGTCAAAGGCATTCATCTCAGCCTGTTCCATCCTGGAGCCTGGTGTTAGGAATCAGGAAGGTTTTTATCTGATCAGGGGAGAGAGACGAGCACAAGCCTTTCTGGACGTGTGGGTTTGTCGAACTGGAGGCTGCTTGTCTGTGAGGCGTGACCACTGTCGGGACCTATGCTGTGATTAGACTGAAATGAGGATGCTTTAATGTTGATATTCATTATTTTAAGCATTTTCTCTGATTTCCTGTTATATATCACTCTTCTTCCTAAATTCAAATTGTTTATCTTTATCCCTTACTTTACCCGCTCCAGTGTTCTTGCCTGGAGAATCCCAGGGACGGGGGAGCCTGGTGGGCTGCCGTCTATGGGGTCGCACAGAGTCGGACACGACTGAAGCGACAGCAGCAGCAGCCACAGCATCCCTTATTTTAGAAGTTTTGTCACTGGATAATGAAAAATAAAACTATATTTTAAGAACCACAGTTGTCACAGTCAAATAGGTATTGAGCTTGTGATGGAACAGATTTGTATATATGTCAAAACCCGTTTATTTTTTATATCCTCAGAACAGAATAAGAAAACAGGAATATAAGATATTAAGGTAAAAAAGAATTTCATAGCCACATACAAGGCTGTGAATTTTCCATTTCTAAATTTACTTCTCTTGTCCTGTTCCTTTCTGCTTGGGTCTAACTTTAGCCTAGAGATAGTCTTGATAAGAAATTGTTTTCTCCTTTAGAAATTAAAACAAAAATAACAACCTTCACCCAACTGCTCATAAACAGTATATACTGGATCCAGTTGATACAGGCTCACAAAATTTTACAAACCATTAATCATAATCACTATTTAAATTATACAGAGTTAAAATTAAGAAAGTTATACTAAATGCAAAGGTGGTAAATGTCCTAACCTCATCCCTTTCTCAGGATTTTACTGACTTCTTAAGGTTACTTACATCTTCGAATGTGGAAAAGCTATTTAATGGCGTGCTACTGCATACATCCTTTCCAGTCCGAATTCAGTGATGTCATGTTGGTAGAAGCCAGCCGTGGTGAGAGTATTTACATCATGGAAATTGATAAGTGCTATGATAAAGGTTTGATTTATTGTTTTGCTCATTGTCTAGGCTTAAGAAAATGCCTAGAGGAAGAAAATGTTAATAATGATGATTAAACTTAAAAGTGTATCATGTCTAGTGCTAAAGGTGAAAGAGGGTTTAATTTTATGCTTAGAATTTGTACAAAAGTGAGAATTAGTTTGATTTCACATCACGTATCACATTTAATGATAAATTTTTTGAGAAAAGAATGACTTGACTCTCTTTGTCAAATAATGAGTGAACTTTCCCCATAGGTTGGCTATGAGAAAAGACTTTGGCAAACATTCTGTGAGAATCAATTGGCTGTGTAATTTACAATAACAGTATTTTGTAAATTATTTTTCATAAATTTTGTGCCACACATCTTTTAACAAGCTTATAGAAAATTATGTTCATGTATATGTGTGCACATTCTTCCCCTGAGAACTGCTCATTAAACATTTACCACACACCACTGCAAAAGATTACCTGAAAAAAAAATTATCCTTCCACTTACAATTTTGAATATTTGAATAAAATACTTCTTAACCAAATCATTATTAAGCTGGGGAATTCTTTAATTGTTTTGCTTTGGGGAAAATTAAGGCATAAGGGAAAGAAAGAAAACATCTGTGTATTAAAAACAGCATTTAAAAAACACTGAACCAGTGACCCCTCAAGGTTGTATTTAGTCCTTAACTAGGTGACACTGGCGGCTCACGTGTGACTGGATTGTAAATTAGATTCAGTACAGGTTGTTCTTTCCCCCTCAGTATTCATTGCCTTTCTCATGAAACATGACACTATTTTAAAGGTTTTAAATTTTGAACGCCACCCCCCCCACTACCACCCTGGAGTGTGACTCAAAGCTTTTACACCTGGGATGGGATTTCCAAGGATGAGGGGTCCCCCTTTCATCCACTGGAGGGATATGGGAAAATCTGACATTTGTGCTTCAGAGAAAAAAACCAAAGCCAAAACAAGTGGTTAAGCAATAGACCAGTTCTTTCAGGCAAGGTAATCAATACAGAATGCAGGTAACAATATTATATATCTATTGATAATAGTAAGGTACAATGTCTGGTCTATAGCTGACACTGAACAAGAATGCCGATTTTTCTGTCAATGTAAGCATGTATATTACTTTGGGGGACTAACTTTGACATGATCAAACTTTGAGAATCACATTTAATTAATGGTATCTGGGGACTATGGCAACAAGAGCCAAACTTATTTTTGCGTTAATTTAATTCACTGTGTTGACTATTCCTTGTGGATAATAAACCATCCCCAAGCCTAGTGACTTGAAACAAAGCTGTGCTGTGCCTCACGATTCTGCGGTCCGGCTATAGGATGCTTATGCTGCTCTTACTGGACGTCACTCATGCTTTTCACTCATCTGAGAGGCCTTCTGAGTTGGAGCTAGAGGGTCCTCATCTATGTATCTGAAACGGCTGAAGGCCAGGATCTTTCTTTCCATAGAGTCTCTTATTGCTCTTATATTAGCCCAGTCTGAGCTGTTTTTAATGGTGGCTGGGTTTGGTCTCAAGAGTTAAAGTGGAAGCTGCCAATCTTTCACTTCATAGGCTTGGAGTTGACACAGCTTTACTTCTGCCGTGTTTTATTGATCAGACAAGCCATGAGTCTAGTGCAGATATAAAGACAGTAAATGGGTGGTCCCTCTTTATAGGGAGAGCTGCAAGGGTGCTTTGCAAAGGTTCATGTGGAAGATAACGGTCACTTTCTACAGTCAACCTCGGTCACGTCCTCTGGAATATCTGTGAAATTGGCTTGATAATATTCTTGTATTTGTGAGTTTCTATTGTTAGTTCTTGTTGTTACTCACTCAGTCATGTCTGACTCTTTGCAGCTCCATGACTGTAGCCCACCAGGCTCCTCTGTCCATGGAATTTTCCAGGCAAGAGTACTGGAGTGGGTGGCCATTTCCTTCTCCAGGGGATCTTCTCAACCCAGGGACTGAACCTGTGTTTCCTGCATTGTAGGCAGATTCTTCAGTGGCTGAGCCAGGGGAACCTAGTCAGCCCTCCTAAAAAGTCTGAAAGATGTATATTAAATAAAAATGTTCAATTGTTAAAATATGTGGCATCTTAAAAATAAAAAAAAATAATAGACAAGATTGATTCAGCAGTCACCTTTTGATAAAGTGCAAAATGTACATTTGCATTAAGTTCAAGTTTCTGACACTGTGGATCATGTAAAGCTAGCTACTGGTGATTTTATAGCTTAGTACTTGGCAGACTGAAATGTCCTTTCTGCCCAAACTAGTTAGAAATTTCCATGCTTGGAAATTGCCTATGATTACTCCCTTTTCTAAAAGCCAAATTATCTGATCTTTTAAGTAAGAGGGAAGTGTCATTGCACAGGCTTGAATGTATTTTGAATATTTTCTTAAGAAAATTTTTTAAAAAGTAAAAGAGAAGTTCGGAGATGGACAGAGTTCTGAAGTGTGTCTGCTGAGAGTTGCCATGGATGGGATCTTTTTTTCAGAATGAAATTTCTGTCCCTGTTGCTTCTAAAGTTCTGAGTCCTGGATCGCACTCCTGTGGTATACAGGAAAATGAACACTGCTGAAGCAGAATGCGAAGGTGCTTGTTACAGGGGAGACAGAAGACAACTGGTTTCTTTTCTGGGAGGGAGGCCGTGAGTGGATAGGAACAATCGGAACTGGACTCAGCTGTAGTGTCTTATTAATTCATGTATACAAGACATTTTTAAACACAAACGTTTTGATGCCACAGTCTACATAACTGCCTACAGGAGGATTTTACTGCAGGAGCTCACAACATAGGGAAGTTTGGGGATTGGCCAGACCTGCCTTAGATGACTGGTTCTACCCCACTGTGGGATGCTGGGTAGGTTATTTCATTTTTTTTTTTCAGATCAGTCCGTTCAGTCGCTCAGTCGTGTCCAACTCTTTGTGACCCCATGGACTGCAGCACACCAGGATTCCCTGTCCATCACCAACTCCCGGAGCTTGCTTACACTCATGTCCATTGAGTCAGTGATGCCATCCAACCATCTCCTCCTCTGTCATCCCCTTCTCCTCATGCCTTCAATCTCTCCCAGCATCAGGGTCTTTTCCAGTGAATCAGTTCTTCACATGAGGTAGCCAACGTATTGGAGCTTCAGCTTCAGCATCAGTCCTTCAATGAATATTCAGGATTGATTTCCTTTGGGATTGACTGGTTTGGTCTCCTTGAAGTCCAAGGGACTCTAAAGAGTCTTCTCCAACACCACAGTTCAGAAGCATCAATCCTTTGGAGCTCAGCTTTCTTCACAGTCCAGCTCTCACATCCGTACATGACCACTGGAGAAACCAGAGCCTTGACTAGACAGACCTTTGTTGGCAGTTCTTTTAGTCTAGAGATAATGAATACTGGAGTGGATTTCCATTCCCTTCTCCAGGGGATCCTCCTGACCCAGACAGCACATGGGTCTCCTGCATTGCAGGCAGATTCTTTACCATCTGAACCACCGGGGAAGCCCTGTAGAGATAATAAATAATAGTAACAACATCTACCTTGTTGTGAGTGTGAAGTGAAATACTGTCAGCAATTAGTACAGCAGCTGTCTGCATTGAGTTCTGAATAGCTTAAACTACAGTTATTATTAGGTATAATTAGAAATTAA